GGCTCCGATTGATATCTTCTTTTTCGTGTACTTCAATATGGAAATGTTAAAAATTATATAGAATTAAATTGAATGGTTGAATTGAAAAATCTATTTTGAACTGAAATTGAATTGAATGTTTAATATTGAAAGTTATATTGAACTTAATTGAATAATTGAATTGGAAAATCCAGTTGTAATTGAATGAATTCATTGATATCTTCTTATACTCAAGCATAGAAATTTTGAACATTATAAGGAATTTAGTTGTCTTCTTTACAGATGTCTTCTTATTCATCAGCTTCAGTATGGAAATTCTGAAAACTAAAGTGAAGTGTTTTTTCATTGCAAAAAAAAACTAAAATTTAAATATTTTGATAAATAATTTATATATATATTCGAATTTCATGAGTAAATGGAATAAATATATGTATTTTATGAACTAATTGATATGAACCAGCATATAAATAGTTTCAATTAAGCTGGTGTTCTAATTTAAAGTTTTTTAATGAAATACCGTGTTTATTCGAATGCACGTTGTTCATAAATTGTGTTCCGAAATTATTAATCCAGGTAAAGCGCGTGCGATCCGCTAATTAATTTATACAACAAACTTTACCTCACCTCGCCGGATTCCAGCATCCATAATTGAGTACGTTCACTCTTCAAATTTAAATCACGTTAGTATTATTATCATGGTTGTTTGTTTCAGTTCGAGCTAAAATTACCATTCATTAAAATAACTTTTGCGGTCATAAATTACCACGAATCAAATACTTTAGTATTTACCTTAATAAAGATAAAACTGTTTCCTATTGGATGTTAAAAATCTCAGGTAAACGGTGGATCGGTGAAAATCGGTTTAAGTCGGTTTCATTTCGGATGATCTCGGCTTAGCTCGTTCTGATCTCCGGATGGTATCGCTTATACGAGAATTGCGCATGCAGTCCGACATTTGCTTTTAATTAATTCAAAACGAAAGGACGAAGGGTCGAATGAAATAAAATAAAATTGAACGCAACGAACGCAACTCTATACTACGAACAGGCTGTGATTTATTTTCTTTAGCTGCAGTTGTGGGGGAGGGTTGGAACGGAGCGGAGGATCGGGTCGGAACCCTACGTGCGTCTGTCAACGATCCAGTACCCCTTATAGTGGGTGGTTCGTCGTCAACATTAATACGTCTTTGCTAGAAGAAAGAGTCCCAAAAAAAGAGCGAGAACAATAACGTTTCCGACAAGAGCAGGTAAATGCATTTATTTTTGTCCCATGCGATTTTCTATAAATATTAAACTTCATCCACAAATCTCTGCAGTATATTCTAGTAAGTTGTAACATACTTGTATCATTTCAAAGCTTCCACCGTAATTCATATAAAAAAAAATAACAAGTTACTTTTAACCATGTAAAAAATAATGTCCCACTATACAAAAATTTAAATATGTATGACATATAACCATAATATGAAACCAAATATTTACATTTGTTACTTTTCTAATAACATTTCTTACATTTCTACTATATAAAATAATTTAAAATTTAAGAAGGTAAAGGTTTATCAAAAAATATTGATTTTCAATTAGTAAATAAAATTACTTTTTCAGCAAAAAAAATATTTGTCAAAACTTTCTTCTTGATTTGTCCAACTTTTCTTATTGATACATAATATATAAAAAAATGTGTTTTTTTGTAAATAAAATATTGAATAAAAACTGGGAGAAAATAATAACGTTTCCGACACTGTCACGGAAACACATTTATTTCAGTCCCATGTGATTCCCTATAAATATTAAATTTATTCGTAAATTCACTCAATAATCTAGCATTATTACTTATACACATTTGTATTGAATGTTTATATACATTTATTTGCTTTACTAATGACTCTGTGTATTTATAATTATTTTATATAATGAAAATTTATTTTTAACATGTAAATGAATGTATTTTATTGTCAGTTAATTTAAACGAAATTAATTAAAGAACAAAAATAATGGAGTATTTCAATTTTTTTATCAGAACATAATGAATAACGATAAATATCATATTTGTTTCTCTAATACATTTCTATGATATAATTGAGTTTATCATTTTTTTTATCATCTCCGTGCAAACAAACAACAACAGATAATTGAAGATTCGAAGAGTATTATTCTATTTTCACCAACTAATCAATAACAAATATCAAACATGATTAATAAACGAAACAAAATATTTCGATCAGCAAAAAAATACAAGCTGTTCAAGTATAATTCGTTATTCTCTACTTTATATAACATGGGACTATTATGTGTGTATGAAATATTTCCGTTGAATAATTGAAAAATAATTGAAGATTATAAATAAAATTTATAATCTTCTATATTTTGTACATAATTAGTTGATTATACAATGATGATATTTAAAATAATAAGATAAGGATAACTATAGTATTATATAATACAAATGTTATACAAATTTACTAGCAAAAATCTGTTTTCATGAAACAACTAGGTATTATATGAAATGTCGAAATGGTATTTTTTCATTAAAAAATCTCACTTAACGAGTTGAATCTAAAATGGTAAAGAAAATACTGTTTTTTTAACACATATTGAATATTTCTATGATTTTATTTTGTATCATAAATTATGTAATATTTTAAATATGAGAAGAAAAAATATACAATGTTAATGATTTATATCATTTTCATAAATTCTCAATGAAAATATTCCGCTGAAAATGCAGCAATAAATGTAAATGCAGACACGAAAATCATTGTTCTGCGCCTGTTACACAAGCAACTATCCCTTCTATATTTAAATAGATACACGCAAACTATGGAAATACCAGCCGGATTATTTTATTATGCACTTTAATTTTAGAGACGCCCCACTTCAATTGTTATGCATGATCAGCGGATGAAGTTCTGCAACGTTCAAGAGCTTTCAAGACAAGTTTTGTGAACCGTTCAATATTTTCCGCGAAATTTCAATTTACTGTTACAAATTTCTATTCCACGAAGATACAAGATACATTGTGTTTTTAAATATTGTCTTCCAAATAAGAAAATGTAATTAATTAACTGTAGTTATTTCATTTTTTTTTTCATTTATAATCTTCTAGGTAATTTGCTTAAAGTGGGCTTTAATTATGTAGAACTTTAATAATCAATTGCACAGCAAATGCATGTTCTGAGCATTGTTTATACCCTAGTTTGGGATGTGGGCGTCCATCGATCGTGTGCCTTTAACTTCGGGAAATCAATTTGATGAAACGCGTCACGCCGTCAGCTAAATAAAAAGTAAATAGATAAAACGTCGACTTTATGAGTTATATATAATAAATATATAAATAAACTAAATGCAATATCGAAGCAATTACATGTTTATTTTTGTACATTTGTATTTGTCCAAAAATAAACTTAATTTCATCTTTCTGTACACATTTCTTATTTTTTAATGTATTTTACCTTAAGACAAATATTTTATATAAAAGCAGATTAATATTATACCAAAAACGAAATGAATACAACCATTGTGTATATGTTTGTATGTTTACAATAGAACATTAAATAACATTGGAAATTGTTTATATATTGTCAATTAATGTTGGAAAAATCAATTATGTAAGACATTTCATTGACGTTATTAATTTTTTTCACTTGTAAGATTTCTAAATAATATGATCAAAGTGAAGAACAGACAAAGTATGTTTATTGATTGTTCAATTGGAATAAGTAGAAGATACTTATGAAATAATAATATTATATAAATCCATGTAAACCAATTAGTTTAAGTGGAAATTATAAAAGATTATATGTATGAAATAGGAATATTGTCCAAACCAATTATCAGAGAAGGTTGAATGATAATGACAATGATTGTTGTTAATCTTGAAAATAAAGCATAATATGATCAATATGACCATGAATAAAGTAGAAAAGATTTGTGTATTAGGCTTATTGTGTAGACAAATGTAATAACTTAATGTGATCCTTACTAATTCACGAGTACAAAAACTATTAGTTTTCCCGTTCTGGGAGCGCGACTCCATCGGGACTCGTGAATCGTCTAGGAAAGCGGCTCCCTCAGTCTAGAAGTAAACATCGTTCCATATAGATATTTAAATGTTAGACTTGCGAAGTTCTCTATGACGAAAAGTTAGAGAAAAAACAGTGCAGTTATTACTGCCGAAACATCAATAGGTCGATAAACGTAAGTTAAGATATATAAAAGAAGTGAAACAAGAGGAGAAAACGCGAACGGTTCCATTTTATCTGTTACTTTTAATTAGTCGAATATGACATAGAGAGCATGACATCGGTTGAACTCACCCCCCTATGTTCTGGTTGCTTGGCAACCCCCGTTGGCCACCTCAACCCCTCTTCCTTGCGCCCCCACACTAGACATTACCCTGCAGATCGCTTTTATCTGAGCCGCCCTCACCAGCGTACCCTTTAGGGGGGTTCCGAAAATTTACAATATATTCCACATCCCGAAAGCCGGCAAGACCGAAGCACAGAAATAAAATATAAAACCAGGCAGACAGTAAAAAAATCCTCGCAAGTCTGAAGAGAGAGAGAGAGAGAGAAAGAGGAAAAGGACATTCAAAATAAAACGTATTATACTAATTGTAAACAAACGGAAGCGACGTTAAGAAAATGGAGAAGGTTGCGTCGGTGCTTTGCGGTGCAGCGGGAAATAATAAAATTTAAAAAAAATAAAAGATTAATAATAAATGAAAAGTAAAATTTAGTAATTAAAAAAATAAAAACAAACTTAAATGGTAGTTCGAATATATAAAATTTTAGTTATTGTTATTGTGAGTGTGTTGTGTAAATAATTTGTTGTTGTTCGTTGCGGAGATGTGTCCATTGAAAATCATTAGGGGTTGAAGAAAGCATGACGAACGCTTATGTCCCATCCCTTGTGTGTGGGTTGGTGGGGGTTGTGCGGAGGGACAGGGAGGGGTGGCTGCCCCGGGCGGCGGGTGCTGCAGTATAGGGTGGGTCAGATATCTCATACACTTGGTCTGTGCAGGTATCACTCGTAGAATGCTGTGATTGTGAAGGGACTTAAAACGGAAAAAACCAACCCCTGCGGAATGCGCTGATCGGACGGCGGTGGATTTAAACAAATTAAAATGGTGAGTGCAGACATTTTTCTTGCTCGTTTTTTCTTTTTTATATATATATATATTCTATCCGTGCTTTCCCATTTCCACTCGCGAGCTGCTTTCGCAGTGCATGGCCCACGCGGACCAGCAGCCCTCTATGCATTATCGAGTGAAAAACAGCCCCCTGGCAAAGGGCAAAACAAAAATGGCCCGCCGATCATTAAACCGGATGACTTAATGCTGGCCATTTTCCACCGACCAACCGTATGTGTGTGCATGTGTGAATGTTCATGTGTGTCTGTGTGTGTGTATGCGGGAGCATTTTTTTATGCTTGCCACCCCGCAATTATTAAATGGTACGCTGCTACTACCACAGGTTATGCAACACGTACGACACGTAACGCTTGACGCCCTCCGACCCCGCAACCCCGATTAAACGATGCATCCTCGTTTACAGATCATACGGAATTAGGAATTAGCGACCCGTCCGAAGTCCCATTCCGAAAATGGAAGTGGCAATGCCTACGATGTCGGGCAACGCTATAGACTGTTACGAGGACATGTTCAAGGAGATCACCAGGAAGCTGTACGGTGAAGATGGCTTGCCCGACCTCCCGCAAACCGATCGGAATCACCAGGCGGCCCAAGATCGGGGTCTCACGCCAATCGATTACGACGTAGACACGCCGATCCTGAAGCCCGAGGAACATCTGACTGCATTCGGACTAGCCGCACTCATGCAGAACGGTTTCCCTTCGCCCTTCCAGCAGCACAAGCCCAATCCAAACTTCGAGGACAAATGGATAATAAGCGAGGACAACATCCCCTGGACGCAATCGAAAATAGCTAGTTACAATCCGGCACAGAAGCTGTTCCGATGCGCGGAATGCGACTGTGTCGGTTACCTTCCCCGAGTAGCAGAACACTGGCTTGGCACGCACTCCAACCTGAGGGTCTTCCAGTGTCCGCAATGCCCCTACGAGAGCGCGTGGGCCAGATGCGTCCGCATGCATCTTACCCGACAACACAACATCAACACCGAGGAGGCCACGGACGCGCTTCTCAAGAACAATCCTGTCCTTCAAGAAGTCACACGGTTCCTGCAAAGACTGAAAACTAGATTAGAGAGCAGCTGTTCGAAACCGCCAGCGGCGAACATAGATGACTTTCAGAATATTAACGCTAACCGACAGGTGCAGCAAACCATAACAAATCAGCAGGAAACTCCCAACGCCTCTGGTAGCAAACGGTATAGCTGTAGCTACTGCCCGTACGCCACTGATAGACGAGACTTGTTCACTAGGCACGAGAACATCCACAGAGAGGAGAAGCCTTTCCAATGTTATGTTTGCCAGAAACAGTTCAACCGAGCAGATCACGTGAAAAAGCACTTCCTTCGGATGCACCGCGAACACGTCTACGATCTTAACAGGATACGTCGTCACCCACCGAAGAACGCTTCCGGAATGTCTTACTATCAGAAGTATAACAATAACACAACCGAAGAGCAGCCCGAAGCGAACATAAATAATTGCATCAACAATGCGATCACAATTCCAAATGGGTTCAACAACATATCGCGAACTCTACCGAACAACCGCAATAATGTTGAAATGAAACCTAAGAGCTCCAAAGTTGGTTCGAAGAAGAAGGGAGAGAAGCGTTTCAGTTGCTGCTACTGCTCTTGGTCAGGTGTCGATAACTGGTGTCTGAAAAGGCACATGAATACACACCTGAAGCCATTCGTATGCGGTTTGTGTGACTACAAAGCCGCGAGATCAGAGCGCTTGGCCACGCACGTGTTGAAGGTGCACAACAAACGTGCCTGTAGCAAATGCACGTTCCTTGCAGACGATCAACAACAGCTAACGGCTCATCAGCAGGAGCAGCAGTGAGTCATTAAAACTACACCTAGGACAAATTTGTAACTAAATATATTTTCTTGTGTTTCAGCCCTTTGGAGCAAAGGAACAATAGGACGTCGTCCGCTGCGAGCAACGTGCTGAGGAACACGAGCTTCGCAAATACAGCCGTGACGAGTTCAGGTATAAACTTTGGGTAAGTTCAAGTTGATGTTTAAGTTAGATGGAGATTGAACAATGTTGGAATATTGTTAGGCAAAGTCAGCCGCCCTTAAAAAATTCCGATATAACAGCAGCAGCCGCGCTGCTTCAGGGAAATCGGCTTCTGCAGCCGGTGGAATCGAAGCAGTGGAAGCCGCACATACCAAAGCAACACGGGGCGGCGCGCCTCTTCAACTACATGGAGGCCAGCGATGGATCTGATCCGGACTGTGATAGTAGTTGCGGTGCAGAGGACATGAGTCGTCTAAGTCACAGGGTCCAGTCGGATTTTCTTGAAGCGGGGGATGTAGGTAGCTGCACTCCAGACGAAGAAACCGGGGAAATGGAACTTCCGCTCTTCGTCTGCCAGACTTGTGGATGCGAGTTCGAGGACGACGGTTCATTGGAAACGCATCAGCTGACACACAAATCCAGCACCACATCTCCCGCTAAAAAACAAAAAGAAAATGTCAACCCTAGACATAGGTACCAGTGTAAATACTGCAGTATGACCTTCACTAGTCAGGTGGCCGTGATCGGTCACATGACCGGCCATTCGACTCTCAATCAGGAAGCTCGTCGGTCGCGCAAACAGATGTTGCCGAAGAGAATCTCCAACGGTAATACCAAGAAGCCTACGATCAAATCGAAAGCCTCCAAAAAGCTGTACTATTGCTTCAAGTGCAAAGGCAAGAGCATCCACCGATTCAACAGCGAGAGTAACCTAATACTGCACAACTACTGGATGCACTCTAAGAAGAACGAGTTCCCCTGTGAGCATTGCGAACTTAAGTTCGAGCACCGTTACCAGATGATCCTGCATTCGAGCAAGGAGCACGTCGAGAAGAAGACCAAGGATACGGCACCTGTTGCTGCGGAAGATCCGCACTTCATGCACACCAACCTGGCCCTACCTGCGGCACCCGCTGTACCTGACATAACAAACGCATCAGCCAGTGTGCATAAGCTGGGTATGTACTTCGACCACTCCTTCAACACTGGCCTCAATGGACACATGCCTCTTATAATACCCACATTTCCTCCCAACTAACGTTTTATAATATATTTTAGTATATTAGCCATATTTGTAAAAGGTATATATACCATAGATATCCGAAGATATATTTTAATAACTTCTTGTAGATTATATATTTAATACATATATTATATATATATTTAAGAACGTTCCCAGCATTCGACGAACGCGCATAACACAAATATAAAAATCCCATTTAAGTTTCTTATTTGATATATTAGTTGTAATCTAATTCAGCGAATCTAGTCATGGATATGCCCATCTTTATTTTTCAAATTTTCTTATTTCAAATTGTACAGTTTACTATCGAATGCGGGGAGCAGACTGCGAATGAAACGAATATTAAACCTCTTCAAGCTAAAATATATTTTTGAGATATTTAGGACTCATCAATGAAGAGATTCAATATTTACTCTAACAAAAAAAAGATAAATAAAGAAAACTTAACAGAACAACAAAAACAAAACAAAGATATAAAATGATATAAATTTAAACGACAATTTGCATTGTTCCAATGTTCACTTTGAAAATTTTAAGTTTCGTGTAGATTAGTTTTAAAAAAGTGACCTTCTGAAGTTTTTTTTTACTAGTAAGAATATGTACCAATTTTTGCAAGAACAAGGAAACCAAGAAAACAAAAATTACGATGAAACGGAAATAATTTGAAATGATGTTGATATTTTTTTTTCATGGCAATGTTATTGGATAATGTCCGTACTTATTATTATTTTTTCTTTCATTCTCTCTCATACTCCAAAATTCATTTTTATATATATTTTTGTCTCATTCGAGTTGTTAATTAATGTTTAACTATTATGAATTATTTTTATTTTCGTGCGAGAGCAAAAAAAAATGCCTCAGTGTTCATCGGTGTAATGGCTTAAAGCAGTTTTCCTCCACCCATATTATTATTATTATTTTGACTTATATAGTATATTTTAAGCATATGATTATTATGTTATATTTTTTAGTGCAATACTTGTTGTATAATAACTGGATAATTGGTTTGTAGAACCAATTCCCAATTATTTATTGTGTTCCAATTGTTTTTTATTTTTATTTTGTTCCTTATTCTTTCGAACTTTTCCCTTGACTTTTATTTTTATACATTTATATATATATATAAAATATATATATATATATAAAAACATACATATATCATTAAGTATCTGTCATGTACTGTGTTTTGTATTTAACAAACCAAATATATGATTTAGAATATTCATTTAACGCTCCACAATTTCAACAGATAATAAATTTTCAAGTAAATTATGCAGTTTGGAAAGAATATTTCAATGGCCCAAACTACTCATTCTTACAATTATTTTATCCAGACACAGTGCTTCCAGACGCAGGTAAATTTACCTTTTTTCAGGTATTTAACAGAAAAAAGGTAGTTGAAAATTTTGTTTGTCCCTTGCCTGCAGATCTAAAGAAATTCCATTAGCTTCTAAATATTCTTTATAATCATACATCTCATTCAGCAGTTATTGTTACTCATATTCACTCATTTTATAATTAATTGTAGATATAGGCAAATATTTGCTTTAACAATGTTACAAATAACATTAATTTAATACAATTATTACCAAAAACGTTAGTCTTAAATGGAATACATAAAAAGTCTTGAAGTGATGACCTTCCAAATACTGTTCAAGTATACTAAAATCATTTGAACAATATTGTAGTATTTGTTTAAAAACATCAGATTTGATAAATTTCAATTATCCCGAGATTACTAATTCCAATAATATGAAATGTTCGTAAAGTACAGTCCTTTCAAGTATAGATGTTTAGTGTCATCATACTTATCAAAAAAAAAATCTTTCTTTTAAAAAACAGTTAAAGGTAAGTTTCGTAGTTAGGTAGATTATTCCAACATGATTTTTCTAAATAATTCCAAGAACATTAAAGTACCGTTTCTTACAAGTATAAATATTTGCTGGTTTCATACTTACCAAATCAATTGGAATATTATTTTTTTGCTGCTAATTGTAATTTTCGTGGCGGGATATATGTTATTGTTTAATTTACGACGATTCACAGTAAATTAAGGATCATATTATAATAATATGAGTGAATCATCAAGGACACAATTATAAGGATTGAGGTTCCTTCGGCTCTAATCAAAGAGTGGTATAGACTGAAACAAATTTAAAAACTATCTTCAGCAATTACTAAAGCGGAGATTAGTTGTAATTATAATCTTAACTTTAGCGTGCTTACCATAAGCATGTCACGACTACGATTAATTGAATAATCTTTTCAGTTAAGACAATTATCTTATTATCGTTATTGATTAACTAATCTCAATTAAAGGCTTCTGTCTTTATGAAAAAAAATATTGTGAGTTATTCACTCCACTCCCATACACTTTACAAATGGTTAATCAATACATGAACGTTGCCTCATATGCAACCAGTTGAACAAGTCACATGTATACCAAGTATTGATTTTAAATTAAACTTGTCCTATCAACTTAATTCATAAGAATTCAAGTTAATTTAGAATACAATATACCAAAAGTTCTAAAATTAGTGTAAGTATAAATCAAACAATTTTTCGTAATATAAAATTAATGGAAAATTTATGTAATATCAATTTTTTTAAGGCATTTTTCATTTTATGTTGTAATCAAAAGCATAGTTAAATATAAATGTAGTATTATCCCACCTTTTAAACATGCCTAGTGGGGCAATTTTCTAGAAAATGTCCAGGAAAGAAGAATTATCATTTAATTTCTTTGGTATGCCAAAAGATCAATCTTGATAGACCATACCATCCCATGTTCATTTAGTAGCTGTAGCTGTCTGATTCAGTTGTCTAGAAATTTAGAGATCAAACAGTTAAACAGAAATATTTGCTAAAAAATATTATCCATCTAAATCAGTGATTCTGAAAGTGTGGGGGGGGTCGCAAAAAAATAATAACAGAAACTTTTTATGTCGCGGACCAAAAATATTGAGAATTACTGCACTACAGCACGAATATGGCAATAGTTTGGTTGGAAAGTTGAGGTATTCAGCTTTAAATGGTGTGGTCGATAATGTAATTATCTTGAAGGTGTTGAAAAATTCACGAAAAACTGTAAAAAAAACGACGTTCCTTTGCTACGTGTAGAACGTTAAGTAACTTTTGTTACATAAAATGAGATACTCAAGAAAAACTGAAAATACGAAAAAAAAACGTTTCTCTGTTTTTTTTTCAATTTCTGCAGCTCTTAGCAGGCGACTCCGCGACAGCCAATAGGCTTGTTGGAAAGGTGAGGCATTCAGCTTTCAAATGTGTGGTCGATCATGGGGGGTTGCAGAGAAATTCAAGAAAAACTGAAAAAAAAACGCAAAAATCATATATACCCTGTTACGCAATAAACAGTACATAACTATTGTTTCATAAACAGTTGCATAAGGGTGGCGCCCATCTTACACAATTATGAAATGCAACAAAAGTTTATTGGTTTTTGAGTTATTAACGAAAATCGGTTTTTAAGTAAATCCTATTCACTTTTTTTCCAATTTCTTAGCAGGCATTCTCCGCGACAGCACAAAGATGCCACGCGACAAGCCAAAGAGGCTTGTTGGAGAGGTGAGTTATTCAGCTTTCATACGAGTTATCGATTATGTAATTATCTTAAGGGGTTGTCGAGAAATTCACGGAAACTTTTCGAGTTATGAACGAAAATCTTTTTTTTCCAATAAAGCGATTTTTAAGTAAATCCTATTCACTTTTTCCAATTTCTACAGGCAGTTAGCTCATTTGAAAGGTTGTAGTTTCTCTTTAATATATGTATTTGATGGTTTAATTAGCACGAGCTGGCGTTTACTTTTTTTTTATAATCATCTAATGCCTCTATATAATTTTAACGTGTTAACCTTTCTAATTTATACCCTTCCGAGATCTGTCCAAGAACCTGAGTACTGAACCGCTGGGACCCCGGTTCGAAATTCGTTATATATTTATCTTCGATCCGTTACCTTTCTTGTTTTTACCAGTCTTGCCGTATCTCTCCTATATACAGATTTTATAGAAGTTAGTTTAAGTTTGATTTAATAGTTATTTTTTAGTTGCGTTAGAAGAAGATCTTTATTTTGATTATTTGTGCTGAAGAAGGAAGTTTTGGTTTATTGGGAGAAGCTGGTTACCTTAACTATTTGGGCGGAAGAAGAAATCCGAAGAATAAGTTATTTTGGATTTGAATGTACAGACAGTGGCTGGTTTTCTGGCGCGTAATGCGGAAGCCAAATGAAGAAGGGGGAAGGAAGAAGAAGATATTACGCGCCTAAAGTGCAAGCAACCAAACATACATATACAATTTGCTGAACAAGTAGGAAAACAACGACTTAGATAATGGCCTTTATTTTCGTAAACTTGAGCTCCCAGAAGAATTGTATAAATTAATGTTGATCTTGAATATACACGTATTAAAATGAATGCAAATGTTAATTTGTAGCTGCAATGGTGTCGTTGTAATTGATTAACATACTTTGTTAAAACAAATGAGTTGGGGAAATAGCGTCTTCGAAAATGGCCTGTATTTTCGTATACACCAACTCTCAGAAGAGTTTTGGACATTAATGATCTTGATCTTATATTTAAGATCAAGATCATTAATTAATGAGATTAAAATTAGTGCTTCCAGAAGAATGTTGAATATGAATGTTGATCTACAATATACAGAGAATAAAATAAATGAAAATATATATTGATAGTTATATAAAATACGTTTAGCCAGTTTAGATTTCCACTATTTGCAAATGACAACTGCTAGTAAACAATGCTTTCTGGGGAACTTGAGATCAATTATATATTAGAGGTTTCCAACCTGGGAGCCGCCAACATTTTTTAATAAGTTAATTTTTATACCATAATATCTTCAAATAAATAAAACGTGTCTATATTATTTAATCTATTAAAACAATAAAAGGTAAGGGAGGCGCGGAAAAAAAAATTCGGGAAGGCGTGGGCGTTGGAAACCGCTGTATTAAAGGCATGTTGCTATCAGCTCCACCTAAAATAATAATAATTGTTTCAATGATTCTTACTACTTACTTTATGACTATTAACAATTAATGCATTCTACTTCTGCAGTTTCTGTTGTATGTGTCTGAAGCCAAAGAACTTTAGTGATTGATGGTTGTTGACATGTTCCACTAGTAATTGCCTGCAGTGAAATGTGAAGTTCAAAGAAAGGGTTCCATACAAGGAAGTAGATGCAGGAAGCAATAGGAGCTCAAATACCTCCTTGCACTCCTAGTCTCTTATTGCAAATCCCAATTTACTGGCATTTTCGATAATCATTTTGCGTTTTGATTCGCGAAAACCGAGAACGAATTAAAGCTTAAAAACTTACTTATTAATTGACCAAAACTAACGTATTTTATAGCAAACAAACGTCAAAGAATTATTCTTTAAAACAGTATCTTCAAATTTTCTAATATATGTGAATATAACCATTTATTTAACTATTTTTTCAATTTTCTGCAATACTTTCACGTTTTCTTAAATTAATCGATTACCACTCGTGCTAATTAAACAATCGAATGCGCAAATTAAAGAGAAAACTACAACCTTTCCAATGAGCTTACTACCGGCATTGTGGTTTGGTTAGTACATCTACTATAATTTATAAAAATCAAGCAATTTAATTTAATTCTCAATCCAAATAATTAACTTCTCACTTAAGCTAATGAAAAATATTTTATTTAGCACCCGACGAATCGATTTACCCAAATTTTATAATTGAACCAATAGAAATAATGATGTTCATTGCATGTCGGTCGGCCAATCTCTGCTATAATCAATCATTGTAGTAAATATAATATGCATTATATTTTCATTATCTTTATTTAATTATATGTTACATAAATAACACACAAATATCATAGCTCCATCCCCGTTTGGTCAATAATCAAGAGCTATGTAATTAACAATATATGCTGTACAAATAAATGAATACAAACAATCAGATATAATAATCAAATATATTCTTTTTAAAGTTTAACAACTAATTTCACAATATGCATGTTTTTTCGCGTTTTTCTCTGTGCTTTCTTCATTAAATAATTCCACCTAATCAATAATACCTAATTAAAAAGATCACATTTCTTTGGTTAAAAATTATTAATAATTTGTTCAATTTAGAAAATATCCCGCAACAGTCGCTCGAGAACACATTGTTATTCATCTCCAATTATTCTGTTTGTATCGATAGAAACTTATCGCTTTTGTTTCATAACATCCTACGCAATCATGAAATGCAATTAAAGTTTCGTAAAATTAAGGGAAAACGTGAAAACGTCGGATATCAACGAAGCAGCGATTTTAAAAAAAATCCTATTCACTTTTTTTTCCAATTTCAACAGCACTTAGCAGACGACTCCACTACAGCAGTGATTCTCAAAGTGTGGGTCGCGTAAAATATTTGGGTGGTGGCATAAAATTAATGACACATCAATCTTGGTTGTTTTTCTATACATACCCATTCTTCAGGGGGTCGCAGAAACTTAATGTCAACAAGGGGGTCGCGGACCAAAAAGTTTGAGAATCACTGCCTTAGAAGAAGTATATTTTAATGATATAATGTTTTACCATAAAAATAAAGGAAGTTCTGGATAGGAAGGTCAAAATAAATAAAAGATATATCTGAAATAATAATATAATACTTGTTTCTTTTTTTTTGTTAACAAAACTCGTTTCATAATGACATCTGGAACAATTTCTCATATTACAATCGTTTACGAAAAAGAATATTATATATGTATATATATACATAATCTGGGGAGAAAAAATGATGATGCAAAAACATACCAACTTTTCAAGTGAAATCAATGAAATCAAAAGGCTTATCTACAAAAGCCCTGTCGCAATTCCAATTATCACGCAAAAAAAAACCAGAAAAATCGTCTCACCTCCAATTCGTGTAATTAAGAGACAAGCAGAAGAAATGATACAACACAACACAATAACTTTTAACTGTTAAGCATTAAGTACATCACTTTCGTATATTTGTTCAGAGTAGTTGCGCATGTTGCTCGATCATTCTTCCTTCCTTTTCTTTGTGTTTTCACAATCTTCAAAATTCTGGCATATAGAATAATCACATTAAGATGAGAGTCAAAATGAATAATACAATTAAATGTGTCTAAATTAAATATACATTATTACAAATAAAAAAAATAAAATAATGATAGTAACTAATGAACAAATACGAGAACTATGTTTGTTTTTTATCCCTAGTCTTACCAGGAATTAATTCATGAATTAAAAAAAAATAAGGTCCAAAATCATGGCTGCCATCACTTGGAATCGTACTTTGAGAAATACGATCATGAAATGGTACTGCTTACATAATATGTTTGAAGGTATTGTGCGTGCAGGCGAGGGCACAAGTGCCGTGTCCAGCCATGATATGTATCAGAAAATCGAAACTATATCAAATGTGTAATAAATCGTAAAACGCGAATAAATAAAAAAAAATATATTTTATAAATATATATATATGTATATACGATATTAATTATTAATATAAGAAAGGAATGCGAGGGTATCGCAATAAAGGAATGGATTTTGGAGTGTAGAAGGAAATTGAAGACTTCTGCACCAATGATTTTACTTCTTTTTCTCTCTCTCTCTCTCTTTTTATCTCATCTTATTTATCTTTTCTTTGCAAAAACTAATAATAATAAATGAATAAGGAAACTCACACAATAAAACGAGAAATTACAAATAAAAAACGAAGTCGATATGCGAGAAATCACGTTATAAGCAAAACGCGGATATGGATATTAACCCAAAACATTCACACGTAAACCGGTAAGATTATAACACAATGGGGAAGAAAATTAAAAAAAAATAATAATAATTGAAAAAGTTATATGAAGTAGTATTGCAACTAGTAGAAAAATATGTTTAAACATCTAACAACAGTAATTAAAATATTCAATCACATAACAAAACATGCAAAAAAAAATAGTATTATATTTATATATACTGCTGCATCCACGAAAAAAATATATATATAAATATATACATAAAAAAATAAGTTATAGGAAAATGATATTATTATTATTATTTCTTTTTTTTTCACTCTCACTCTCTAAAACTACTAATCGTGATTGAACATTTTGTATTTTGAATCATGTAAAGGACTAATTTCATTACAAAAAAAATGATACAATATTATTATTATTATTAAAAATAAACCGAAGAAGAAATCTCACTCAAAGGTCATTAGTTCTTAATTGTCTATATCAATTAACTATATCATTTAATAAACTACTAGTAAAAAAAATTATCTAAGGTCCATTTTCGTATTATTAATTAATATTACTTGTTTTGTTAAATCTTTCTTTTTTTTTGGATTTAAAGTCTTCGTTTTCTTACTTTTGTTTGTTTCTTCACTTTACAGTATCACAAAAACGTTTAAAAAGTTTTATCACATAATGAAATATATTAGCTAAACTCATTCACACACACACACACAAGTTAGGCCACTGTGATTACATCAAGGAGCGTTGTCGCAGGAATAGTGGGTTTAAGGACTAGGTTTTTGGGGGGTCGGGGAGGGTTCAGAAGTCCTCTTCATAAGGTAGGATTGGTATTTGTTTTGGTGTCTGTGTTCACTTCACCTTCAACAATTATATCTCTCTCTCTTTCTCATTTTCATATCTCTCTCTCCTCTCGTTTGCCTTAAAGACATCATTCCGGCCGAGGAAAGAGCCCATCGTAACTAACAACTTGTCACTTTCGTATGTTTTCTTGTATGTTTGTTAGTCTACTAAAATGAACAGTCTAACATAATAAATCTTCAAAAAGAAAAATGAAATTCTAATTAAGCATATACAATAAAAAGAAAAAACAAAATATATGAAACGTTTCAACTCTACTGGATAAAAATAATATGTGAATCGTTCCTTTCTAGTTCAGTTTTAGTGTATTTTTGTACTCACGAAAATTAAAATTAAAATATAATTCTTGCACCGCAGGCGGCCTTCATCGTCTTGTCCTATTTATTTGAAAACCCATTTTTTTTTGTAAATTATTTTCTCGTCAACTCTTTTTTTATAAAATATTACTTTTTAACCTATACTCAGTCTTCTTTATTTATTTTTTTTGTTGTCAAATGTTTTCCCCCTACTTTAATAATTGTACCCTTGTAATCAAATAGTCAGCCCCGCACTTGTCGAAAAAAAAAAATTTGATGTACATTTGCTGTTTTAAGAGTATAGGTCTGTACGTATAAAAATGTATGTTTGCTTTTTTTTGTTTAGTTTGTTTTTACCCACCCTTAAACTCACATTACATGATGGTATTGAAATATAATGAAATCATATGATTAGAGCCACTCTAGATTTCCCACCCTGGAATATTACGTGTTACAATTCCCCTAAATCCTGAAATGTAGACAGATTTAACTGATGTTCTTTTTGCGGATCGACAAGGATGCTGGATGTGACTTACCTTTTTCAAGATTCAAAGTCCGTACAGTGAGGACAACCTTTCACTTAATTGTGGAGGAAATTGGTCACTGAATCGCTTCCAATTATCTTCGCCTACTTGAGACTTGAATCCGTGCAATATCTTGAACAAAAAAAAACATAGCATCACAAAACTAAAGAATATTCATTATGTAAGTTTACTAAACAAAGTATGTGTTGAATATTTAACAATGATCTTCTATTGTAGATCAAATAATAGTTTTTTGGTACAACGCGTCATGAGTGTTTACTAAGCAGTTTGATATTTTCTATTCAAGGTTATCACCCATACATGTGAGCAACCTTGGATTATTGTAATCACGTTTCCAATTGTTTATACCATTACAGTTTGATAGGTACACAAAAAATATCTTAGATCAGTGATTCTCAAAGTTGGGGGCGCAGAAAAAATGATGAAGAATGGGTTTTTTCTACACATACCCATACCTTTAAAATTGAGAGACACTGTCCTAGATGATACAAAAGTTCTATGTCCATACAAATTGCTTTCATTTTATGTTATAAGACAATAAAAATGTTATGAAAAATAAATAAACTGATGCAAATTATAATTTAAAATACCTTGATAAAAACATCTTTGAGGTCGTCTTTTGGTGTAATCCAGGATGCGACGGCATCGCAGAAGAAAATAAAATCTGGCACAACACCGCCTGGATTTACGGTGATCATCTGACACATCCCCCGAAAAGCACTATCTTTCTCTTCATTGTCCCGAATGTTCCTCAACGACGTGCACCTGTAAATCTATTTTTTTAGAATGCGTCCCTCGGAGGTATCGCGATGCGTAAATGTATTTGCATTATTATTCCAATATATAATTGAGTACCGGTTTCATTCTGATGCGCAATTTCGAAATAGCAATCTCCGTTCTGTTAACAGGTGTATGTATGTATAGATAAATATACAAGTAGTACATATATAAATATCAAGCATTTAACATTCTTCTTTTGGTCTGTAATTCAATTTTCTCTTTTTATTTATTGCGATTGAAGATGGCTAATGTCTTTTGAACTGGCAATAAATCTAGCACGTTTTCGAACAGATATATATATATTTATATGTAAAGGAGGAAGCAACAGAATTTGGCTAAAATCAAAAGTGAACTAAAGAAGTAAAACCAAACGAAAAACGAAATCAAGGCACTTCCTCAGAGCAAACGTGAATAAAACTCAAATCAAATTATATATGGATTAACTTAAAATAACTTAAATTAAAATAATAATAAATTAGAATAAAAATAGAGGATTTTACACACCACTGGCGGACAAACTGATGTAACACAGGCGCGACATCATGTGGGCAGACAAAACCAAGGCGACCGATTGTTATGGCTATAGTGAACCACCGAGAACAAAAACAAACAAAAAAACCCAACTCAATTACAAACAAATCATGACAATCTCTTTTTTCATCTTTGAAGAAAAAAATTAGAAGGTTAAAAGAAATAACTTGATGTAAAAGAAAATCCCAAGGGCTGAACGTCTTCTTCCTTGGAATCCGCAAGAACGCCCCAAAAATAATAACTAAAAACGTTAGCCCTTAATCAATCAATCAATAGAATAAGAAAAAAATAATATATATATATATAAATTAATAAAACATTGATACTCTCTTACTGATCTTCAAAATGAAACTACTTAATATAAATCTAAAGCCAATAAATTAGTTTGAATGAGATGGGGAAACCTAATCTGTTCCCTTGTATCGCCTTTGCCCAGAATTGTATAAATTCGCTTAATTTCTTTTAGGTATGGTTATTATTTTTTTTTTTGTTATACAGTTTTGCATTTGCTTCAGCTAAGCTAGTGGATTAAACGGGATTAAAAATAAATAAATAAGAATTAGAATAATAAACAAATAAACTGTGGTAAATAACACTGTATCCATTGATAGTATATGCATATATATGAAAGTATGTATATCACAAACCCGTGCACTAAAACATAGATTTACATTGAAACAATTCCAGGTCGAGCTGCAATAAATAATCAAAAAGAGAAAGAAATAATAATAATTACGGTTAATACGAAACTGAAAATTATAAAAAGCACATCACACCTAAACCACAGATGTAAATCAATAAAATTGGAAAAAAAAATCAACGTTAAACACTGATTAAATAAATCAACAAAAATTAAATTATTTCAACGAAAATTAAGCGACTTTCGATTATTGTCAAACATTTAATAATAAATTGGCTTTCATACTTACTTTAAATGTCACCTTATTTTTTTTTATATTGAGTAAAGAGTGAGCATGCAAGTATATATATAAAAAAAAGTAACGCAAAATTCACATACCCGTATTTTCCAATAGTGTTTTTGGTGTGTTTTGTCTATTGATAATATCGATAAGCTGTCCTAAAACTAATTGTATATATGGCCTCGTCTCTGCACCTGGAAAAATGTTTAAGATTTAATATCGCAAATGTTGAAGGGTTTATTTATGAAATGTTACCTAATTTGATACTAATTTCACCAATAGCCCACGTAGCGTTATTGCAGACAGAAATGTATTCTGGATTAAGGTTCTGACCTAAAATTGGCAGAAAATCTGATATGCAAGGTTTAACGTGCTGGAAACAAGCTTTGGTTAAATCGCCCAATAGAGCGAATGATGATTGCCTAACTTCAGCCATGGGGTCTTGCATACAATGGTGCAGCAACTCCATAATATTGCTATTAACAACTAATTTCTCAATGTGTCCATTTAGACCCTCGGCTAAACCAGACAATAAATCTAACGCCACAATCATAAAGTCTTTGTCCGGAGCGTCAAAGGAATCTGGATTTTGCTGATTTGCCATATGTTGGTACAGAGTTTGTTGTACTAACGACACGCATCTTCTGTAGACTGGTTCGCAATATGGTAAGAAACCTGACTGTAAGGCGGTGGCTACACTAGACAAGCACTCGAGTAGAGGAAATAGATCTTTGTCTTCGTCTTTCAAGATGTTCCACTTATGTATCAACGGCGGCATCAATAAGTTTATAAAATCTGGTTTATTTAGATGATGTCCTACGGAGTCAGCTAATGTTCCAATAGCATCGTACAAAATAAGCAGATTTTTGTGTTGATACTTAGTGAAAGCGAAGACTAAGGTTTCCAATATAAATCCTAAATATGGTACTAACTCAGTACAGGCTTCCTCCTCTAACGTAGCAAATGCGGAGCATGCTGCTTCTTGTACTCTCTTATTACTATCCAAAATTCTTTTCAGAAGTTCAGTCATTAAAGGTTTCAAATAAGAATCGTGCGGTTGTGTGACAACCCAATGAGAATATCTTGATAAGGTCCAGCATGTTATTGCCCTAACAAGTGCTTTTCTATCGTTTAAACTGTTTATCAAGTATGGTATCAACTCCGGCAGATGATTCAACATTCCGCTCATGCATCCCTCCGCAATCGCACCTAACGCAAGGATACCAGACTCCTTGATGTCCCATTCCGAATGAAATAGGGTTTCTTTCAGAATGGGAATCAAGATCGGTAATAGATCTTCCTTAAATACATTTGCCAGTACATCTAAAGCAGCCGCACTGCATTTCCGCAAATTCCAATCCGACAATGATCCCTCATCATCCCCATCAAAGAATTCGTCATCCTCCTCCTCACTTTGGTCCATGCCATTTTCCGTTCCGCTATTACAATTCGTTGCTTTTATCGTGTGTGTCTTTGATTTATGGAATCTTGGCCTTATATCTTCTTCTTTGTCAGGAACACTCTCGTCCTCTTCTACGTCACCCTATAAGTTAAAAAAAACAATAATAGTTATTCAATTCATTATCTTCAGTGATTAATTGATATCTCTGATTAGCAAAGTTTTAAATAATTGATTCATTTTTAAAAATTGAATGCATTTATCTGATTACAATACATATTGTTGACTGTACTTTGATCAATGAATTATCTTTACACTTAAAGAATCATTAACCAGTATCGGTTATTTTCTCAATATTATTATTTTAAATAGCATACTTAAATTATACACACCTTAAGTAATATTATATCTATTTCTGAATATTTCATTCCTTTCACAAGTATTGGCACTAGTCTGTTTAAATGGCCATGAAGTACATCTCTACATATTGGTTGTTCTGCTAGAGAAAGCCAGAACTCGCATGCTTCCAATGCTACACCATCATCATGATCTTGTGTCCTCAAGAGCATGTATTCAATTATTTCACTCATATTAGGAACTAATCTGTCCATTCTAACTTCTAGAAGCATAACAAGTGCACGACAAACATTTTTCCTCACTTCAGGATCATCATCAGTGGCAACGAGGAATAGATTCTAAAACAATTTTGGTGTAAATATAAAACAAATAATACATAATAAAAAAACTTACAGTTAGAAATGAATCAATATGAATCATAAGTGCCTGAGACCTTTGAATAATGAACTGATTTACACAACCAATTGCATAAGATCGAATTTTAGAACTAGAATGACTAAAAAAGTGTAGAAACTTGGGAATCAATATATTAAGTGGTCTGCTGTTCACATCTGCATCAAGGGTCTCTGCTGAATCTTCACAAATCTTCTGCAAGGCACCAAAGGCTCCTTCACACACATTATAGTCCTGTGAATCCAGCATGTTGCACAGTGCTGGCAGTAACTCAGGCCATGTGACCAATTCCCCTTTGCTTGCTATTGTAGTTATAAGTATCCCAACAGTGGCTCTGATTAGCGGTGATGGGTCTCCTACAGCTTGCAGACATTCTTGTTTAATAAAGTGTATAACATTGGGCACCAAATTGCTGTAATGTGTTTTAACATTGTTTTTCAATATTAAACCACTGAGAGATCGAGTTGGCTCATCTTCTTGTATCATTTTTGTAAGAACAAACATCAGGTAGTTGTTAAAATCAGGATACTTATTCAGCTGTTCTAATTTCTAAAAGTTGCATTAAGGAAAGTACGTGTGTAAAGAAGTAAATGAAAAATACAATAGGAAGTTAAGTATTTAAATGTAATGATTTTACTGTGATGTTTTGGTATGTTGCAAGCAAGAAAAACTGCAAATGCATTTGTAAACATTCGATTTTGGCGGTTTTGTTAGTGCTGTTTTTTTGGCTTTCGTATTTCGTGGTTCCCACAAACATCATTATATTTACCCACAGACGACGAACAAAAAAAAAGGATACTTGCTGGACTACTCTTTGCGTCTCCGTGACCGGTGATTGTGATTCCTTTAATAGAGTCAATATCTCGCGAAGATCTTCCTGTTGCGGCGCCCACTCCATTTTCATTTCGCCTGATTTATCCTGTGAACTCCGAAAATCCTTAACCCGTGTGAAAACCTTAACCAAGCAAAAGAATTCGCAAACGAACGGACACCAAACTAACCATGGAACGGTACAAATACATCAATGCGCGTGCGAAGGACGAAGATGGGGGGAGACCGGAAATCGGCTCCTCTCGCTCGCGCAAGTCAAATCAGCAATCGTAGTCGATAGAAGTTTACGAAATCGCCGCTCGATAAGCGCTAAAAGGGCCGAAAGGACGGGCGATCTAGGATCGCATGGGAGGGCGCCAGTGGCTTCGCCCTCCGCCCTTCTTTTTCCACCCTCGATTACAGCCGTCGCGACGCCCATTTCAAATTTCCCGCGATACTGTTCCGTTCGGTTCCTGTCTACCGCGAAGATAATCGCAACTGGTATCTACAACTATATTAATTGAAATATTCATCGCTTTGTGCAATCGAATCCTGGCTTTACGGTTCTACTCAAACTTCCTAAAGTGCGCGTCCTCTGACCCTCAACAATTTATAAAAGAAAAAACAAATATACCTTTTTTTGTTATTGCAATCGTCTTATTGCTAATTCTTTACTAACTTCAAAATGGTGTTAGTAAGCTAACTATAGCTGACTTAAAGTGAACTTTAAAAAATTTAAACGTCAAATTTGAAAGTTAGTTATGACATGAGTCATTCAGGACAACACAATAACAAAATAATTTGAAATAAACAGCAACGTCATTTACGTATTATTTACTTTATTTATCTTATATAGATAACAACTATTCTCGAAAAGTAAATAAAATTATTAAATAAAGTATTTTAATTTGCGAACAAACTACTAAAATGTAATTTTTTTGCAAATTATAATTACTATTAGATTTTCTTATTCGTAACCATCTTTCATAAAAACTTATATATTTTAAATTTAATTGATCTTTTCTATATGTTAGTTAATTATATTAAGTTGCAAATAATGAATTCTATTATTCTGAATATATTGGTTTTTACATAAATTGAATATGCAGAAAAAGTTTTTTGATATTCCAAATATACGTTTCAAATATCAAGTAAGTTTAGTACAAAACAACAATAAATAACTTGATTAAGTTCTATTTATAGCACGAATATCGTTCTTTAATAATTTTAATAAGAAGTGTTGTAATAGTGGTCGAATTAAGTAACATTATCAACTAAAGTACATGAATAAGTCGCAATAAGAACATTTGTAAATATTATTGTTTTATTTAATAATTGTATAGATTTGTACACACTGTACACAAGTTATATAAATCATACTACGTCGTGCAAAAAAAATTGCATACCCAAGATACCAATGTAAAGAAAATAATGAACTTTATGCAAGTTTTGTTTGTAACACGTTATTAAATTATTCTGAAATCAAAACAAAGTTTTTTTTTAAATAACGTGTAGTTTCTTAAAAATTACTTTTCGTAATGGAAACGTTCGGTAGTATCTGAATAAGTTTGAATGAAATTTCTGTTAATTTCGAGTTATTGATCAGAGTAGATATAGATTATGATGTAACGGGCCTTTGTCGCCAGGACGTGTTTCGCATGTTGCCGATGTTTCGTTGTTGCTGCGGCCATTCGGGTCGCGTCCGTCGACCTTCCAGACGGGTATTTGGTTTTTGAAAATTGCCGGCTTGGGTATTTCGAAAAGTCGAGGGGCTAACAGTAAGTGAGTGAGAGAGAGAGAGGAAGAAAGACGGATCGAAGAAAAGATCCTGGCGAGTGGTGGTGAAGAAGAAGAAGAAGGAGGATTAAAAAAAAAGAAATATGGTCGACCCGATAGGTGAGAGCGGGCACGATATTGTAGCCAAATTCAGACCGGTATTTATCTGCCATTGTTTATTATGATGTTTATCACACCGAATGCAATGTTGGAAATGGCTCCGAAGGCTTGTTTATAATAGTGAGAGACAAGGTAGGCGGCAATCCGCACGGCCCACCGATCTAGGCCAGCGCCCATCCTCATCATTTTTCTTAATTTTCCTTCAATCCCTTCTGTACCTTCATCTACCGAAATTTTTGCACCACGGGAAGGAATCCGTGAGAAGTTGTGTGGGATCAGGGAAAGAGAACTGAACTGAAAATGTACCCATCTAGTGGCTGTGTGTGTGTGAAATCATAGATATGAGTCATTTATCACCATTCCGGGTAAATGTACCAAACCTGGGTACAGAGCTGTCCAGTGGTGTCTCTAACCCAAAGAAGAGGCGAAAAAATGGACAGACCCCAACAATACCACCAACCCCAAATGTGCAGGACTTGTATGCACCACCAATATCAGGATTCGGAGACACTATTGTTGCCTCCAACCCTTTTGATGATTGCCCCAGCATGAACATGGCCATGATCAGGAACCCAAATCCCATGGGTATGGGTTCCAACATGCCCATGGGTATGAACATTTGCAACAGGCCAATGGGTAAATATTGCATTTAAATTAATTATACATCAAAATCTGAGTAAACAATCAAAGCAAGGCACACAGATTTTAATAAATTATTCACTCACCATTCAGTGTTCACTGCACAAATATAACTATTCAACTGAGCTCTAGCCTGTAAATTGATCACTATTAAGTAGTTTATGGTGGGAAGTATTATTGTTATTGTCTTGATAACAGTCACTCACTATTCATGACTATTATATGATATGCAATGGAATTGATTTGTGTAATTGTTTCAGGTGGTCCTCCTTTGTCATCAATGGCACCACATCACAACCATCCCGGTATGATGATGAATGGGCCTCGGATGAATGGTCCACCCATGAATGGGCCTCAAATGAATGGCCCTCCAATGGGTAACCCAATGGGACCACATATGATTCCTAGTCCAAACGGACCTATGCATGGTCCTATTCCAGGTATTCATTGCGAGAAATATGCACATTTTCCAATCATACTAACATCACTCTATTCCTCAGGTCCAATACAAAGTCCAATTAACAATATGGGACCATCGCCTATGCCGGGTCAGATGCAAGGCAATGGACCCATTAATGGGCCTATGATCAGTCCTATGGGTCCAATGAACAATGGTGGACCTCTAGGTCCAATGAACAGCCCTATGAACGGACCTGGGCCTATGAATGGTATGTCGTCGCCCATGAACGGTCCCATGAATGGAATGGGAAATAACATGAACAGTCCTATGGGTGGACCACAATGTAATATGAATTCAGGTGATTATATCTACTAATCAAAAACCCTTCAGTATAGAACTCAAGACTCTCAGTCCAAAATCTCACCATTGTAGTATTAATTCAGTCATTCCTAGTACATATATTTGTTTCATTTTTTTATGTGGAGTATTCTATAATCAAAACCTGTTAAAATTGTTTTTGAAATTCTTAGTCTCGCAATTCTAAGCGAAGGCTCGTATCTTGAGAAGATTTGTATGATTTATGTAATGAATAATAATAATATTTAATGCAGTGCTTCTCAACTTTGTTTCCCCCGCGACACACATGATGGTTGATATTCACAATCGCAGTGGCCTACTAAGAGTAGATCATTTGCTACCGTCGGAACTTACCATCATTAGTAACTATTATTTTATATTAGTAACTAACAACACGCTATTTAACGCCTATAACTTCAGCTTACTATTGCACATTCATGTTGATGGATATCGAGAGAAACGTACGAAAAAGAGCTTCATTCAATTAATTTTCATTACTCAAATTTTTATATATATAACGGATATGGATTTTTCCTGAATTTTGAACATCGGACGTCTTCTAAACTCGCAACGAATGCATTTTGTTTGAAGCACTTTACTCGAACTCTATGATCTCTATAGATTCAGGTTTGATATGCATTTTTTATACTTTAAAATTTATTACGAGAAAAACGTGCAAACTTAATATAAACATTCATACTTAATACTTAATTTCAAATAATCAAGAAACAGACGCGTTGTATTTTAAACAAATTCATATATGCAATTCTTCAGAATCTTTTTACAAAAAAAATCAATTCATTTTATTAAAATTATACTAATTTTATTTATATATTAAGTTTTTCTAATTTACGAATTCATTTTAATGAAAGGTTTGTCACGTTTTTTTATTCAGTAAATTCAATGTGTTTTTATTCATTGAAAATGTAATTAACAAAACTTGCTAATGTGCAAATTTTATTGCTTTAAGCTGACATTTTGATGTTGATTTGATTGTTGTAAAAACACTTTAAAGGTTTTACAGAAAAATCGATTTTCACTGCACTTTGATATTAGATATATTTAAATTCACTGTTTTGTTTTCCTCTAAAATTTTATTTCGTGATCAAATTCAATAAGTTACAAAAAAACAATAATTAAAGCGTAGAAGGATACGCCTTTGTTCAAGGAATTATTTATTTTTAAAACGCGTATTACTCAGTTAATCGTTTTAAAAACACTGAGATTGTAATGTTAAATGTTGTTAATATAAATATCTCAGTTTTCATAAATATTTAAAAATATTTCTGTTTACAATTAGAATGTCTGCAAACGACATGTTCCAATTGTTCATTGTCTGCTTGTAGTAAATAGAATTCCTGTATTATTGTCACGTGCATAATATCTCTATCTGAAGGGTTAACGTGAAATTGTATATTATCACTTTCAGTTAGTCGCTTGCATTTAACCCAAATTCAATGTTGCTTCTAGGGCCAATGAATAACAATTTTATGATGCCTCTGAACAACATTTATCAGAAACCTTTGCCTGTGAGTGCAGGCAAAGTCTACCCCGCAGATCAATCAATGGTAGTACCAACATAGATGCTTTTAAAAAAAACCCTTATAAAACTGTGTATCTTTTAGGTTTTTAATTCACAAAATCCTAACGCGCCGCCAATTTACCCATGCGGCGTCTGCCATAAAGAGGTGCACGATAACGATCAAGCCATCCTATGTGAGAGTGGCTGCAACTTCTGGTTCCATAGGTATGACCGTATATGATTCCACAGGTGGTGCAATGACCTACGGCACATTTGCTTTCTGTTTCAGGGGATGTACCGGTTTAACGGAAGCCGCGTTTCAGCTTCTTACAGCCGAGGTCTACGCGGAATGGGTGTGCGACAAATGCCTGACGTCGAAGAACATACCCCTAGTGAAATTTAAGCCATGATTAGGTCAGAGTAAGAATAGAATTAGAATTGGACACTCGAATAAATCTAAACATAGCGAGAAAAAAAAACAAGTAGAGGTTGAAAATGAAGTGAAATTTAACGAGGGACAAAATGTGTATGATAACAGTCAAGAAAGAAAAAAAGAGACACGCACGAAGTAAACAAATAGAGGTAATCCTTAGTCGATGGTAAAGAACAGATGCAAATAGAGAGAAACGAAGTGTCGATTTGATTTGTTGTCTGCTTTTTCTTGTAATTATAAATATTATTATGTTTTCTTTTTGTTTGATTGACTTCGAAGATAGTAGAGACACTTCCACAACAATTCTAAAGACTGATCCTATTGTTAATGCGAAATGTAGAATTCGGCTGGTTATTTTCGAGTACTTCTCTTTAACATATTAATAACTTTTATTTTATTTTTTTTATTATTATTATTTTGTCGATTTGTAATTTTATTTTGAGACTGTTTTGATTTGATTATTTCTCTTAATTATTTTTTTTGGCAAGATTTTTACAATATTTACACGTATAGAACGCTTCATGTACTTTAAGCTAATTGATTTCTTAAACGGAATTTCTTTTTTTGGGAGTGAATAGTAGATATTATTATAGACGTGTCGTGGGCATCACTTAATTAGTTTCCTCATTTCGTTCTTAATTTTATTTAGTTCATAAATATATTCACATACACACTTACAAACTTACACGTATGCGCAAATAATGGTTACATGATGTAAATACATACAACATATATTAAACAACTATTATATATATATATCCTCTAATCTAATTGACATTTTTTTTCTACTGTTATATTGATGACTTAACTATGTACCGAATGTTTTTAAAAGATGTACAAATTTTATGAAATAGTGTAAATATGTTATATATATATATAATGGATATTAGATTATGTACAGCTTCTGTGAAGGGCTCAAACGAAGCGGAATATTTAAAATTACTTAATAAGGAGAAAAGGTAAATCAACAATAAGAAAGGAATTCTGTAAAGCCTACACTGCCATAATGCTATATATTCTGTACAGATATATCTATATACATATAAACACAAATTTAATATTACAACTTTCGATTGATTTTATTACAAACGGATTTTAAGTTGATACGTCTTATGTAACCTTACTTTACTTACTAGTTCTCTATATATATTATTATTTTTTGTATCGTCTTTTTTGTGTGGGGTCCTCTGGACTGCGTTTGACAATTAATTCTCGGGAGGGACCTGCATGGAACATATCAAACTTAACGCCGATCACTTAAGTTAAATACAGCAACAATAACACTAAACAATTGTATAGCAAGAATATTATTAATATTAATAATAACAATAAAACAATATGCAACTTTTGCAATCGTTCGCACATCAACATTTATTTGCCATCATTACCTTTTTGCTAGTCCTCATATAATTTGTTGTTTTTTTTTTAATTCTGTTCTCGTCCGTCATAAGCGATCAATCAAATGCAGTTATATATTATCAAAAATGGTGCTGTAATTACCGAAGAATATTGTAGTGTTTGTTAATGATACTGATTAATAGTAATTTTGATAGATATTTGCTTTACGCAATGAAGATTATTAGTAATCAATAATAATTATAATAAAAGAAATAATAATAATACAATGTTGCATGTGAATTTAATGTAGGCCAGTGTTTCTTGGAGTATTTGAATTAATTTATACAACAAATTCCGGTTTTACGTATAATAAATATGATATATGTCAATTGTCTAAGAGTACAATTTGCAATTCTTTTCTATGCTGTGAATATGTACATATATTATATATTTTATAACGATACGTTTAATCAAAACTCCGAGTGACTTTTAGGAAACGATTACTAAGTAAACTTTAGCAACATTATATTATTATTGAAGTATATACTCATGTTGTAACAAAATAATATTTTTTTTTTTAGTTTAAAACCAGCGAACAAATTAATAAATATTGGTCTTTAATTTGATTAGTAAACATAACAAATGTGATTAAGAAGCAATGTTTGAATCTATGGACTGTATAATAAACTATTTATGCGAGAGACTAATTGTTTGTATAAATCACAGTGTGATTGTTGTGTTCACTCAATAGCAATAAATATTGTTAAACATTATGAGTTCACTTTTTATCCTTTGAGTTACAATTCAGCCATTGTTTTGTATATGACTAATCGCCAAAAGCACAGTCATATTATATATACTCCTAAATGACTCACTCCTGAAAAATATTAAACTGTATAGAATAATTAGATAGTTTTGAGTGTTAATAATTGGTTTAATCATTTTATTAATTGAACAATCATTTTGTATAGACAAATCTAGTGAATTTTGCTTAACGGATTATTTTTGTAGATCTTCTAATTACAGGTCAATGACCAAAAGTACTTTAGTCCGTAAATATTATTCTTAGCTAAGAAAGATTAATTATTTAACAGCGAGAAAAATTGAATGCAAGCCAAATTACTTCTATATCTTATTTTTACATGTGTATTTATAAGAAAGTCTTCCAATTTCCAAGTTTTAGTTAATTGCTAGAAAACTAAATTTGTGCGCTTTTACTGCATACTTTGTTTTTTTTTGTATCCTAGTTGTTACAAGGAAAATTTATAAGAATTTATAATTGTACTTTTAAGGAAATTATCAGCTTTACCATCATAATAAATATTTGTATGCTTTATCATTGAAATTCATTTAGACCTTAAAAAATCGAAGTTTCAAAATATTTTTCTGTTCCATTTATTTCTTAAAATGCTTATTTTTTTACTATCTTATATACTAAGTAAACTAAACTTATTGTTAATTCTGTTATAGTTATACTATATGTTGTACGATACGTATATTTGGTTGCCTACATATGATGCCAACCTATGTAATAAGCTTGTATGTTATATATAATATTAATTATTACTCCCTAGATTTGTTATATTCTTATATTATGTAATGAAGATTTGAAGCTATACTTCATCTAGGGAAATAAATGATTCCTTCATCTGTAAGCCTGAATAGGTTTAAATGGAAACGACTTATAATAGGGTAGAAAGTTTAGAGCTTAGATTCTTAGAAAATAATACAATGGTGTAAGGGTTTATGGAGTGACCAAGGGAAAGAACGTTTATTTAAAAAAGGAAGATTTTCGTCGTTTCGTCGAGAATTTGTAAAAGCTATTTGTATATTACTGACTTCAAAAATAGATATCGATTAACCCGAAATACTTACATTGTTTCATATGACGACAACGTAATAATTGATATAACTGATGATCAATATTATTGTCAACATATGATTTATTTATAATGTATGAGAGATAACATTCATCAATATTACAATTAAATAGGAGAAAAAAAATGTGTAAGACACTACGTAGTTTGTTCTAATAATTGGAATAGAATCTGCCACACTATGTTTATTTCCAGTCAACTATATAATTTTTCGTTAACATCAATAAATTCAGATTATAAAGTTGATATACAGGAGTCCTAAGGTTATTATGTCATGGCGTTGATAAAGTCCAATAACACATTTCCTTAGCGAATTTACTAGAAATGTTTGCAAATTTTGGACTTCAAAATTGTCGAATGATTTGTATTAACAACTGTTTGTTATTGTTTAGTCATTAAGGATTTGTAAATATTAGAATTATTTAAATTGTAGTCGTTTTCTTAGTGGATTGTTATTGATTTCGTAAATTGAAATTGTGGGTTGTTGTTGGTTAGTATAATCAAGGGGGAGATTATGATTCATCGTACGTTGAATTAAAGTTTTTGTTTTCTGTTGGTGTTTTAAGAAGCGTGTGACATTCGATTGTGATACAAACAAATGTGTTGATAAAGTCGTGTTATCGGTATATTCCGAGATAGCTTTGTCGTGAGTAACTTTCTCGTTGTTATTGTTTTTGTTTGTAGTAGTATAGAATGCTATTCAATGGGAGAGATTGAATGAGATGGAATGATCCCTTTCTCTTTGTCACTCTGTACAGCCATTGGCTCCGACTATTCTCCCACCCAAGAACAGATTGCACTCTAACGAAGGTTTACGTCACGTGAGCTGCCAGTTGTCGCTTGGCGTTTACCTTTGTTATCGGCCGGTCTTAGTAGTCTGTCGTTGTGACCTTGAAGTCCTTGTTTTTGTTTACGGAAGGTACAGGTGGTGACAGTACATAGTGGACTCACTGAAGTTGAGAAATCAGACCAGAGATAGATAGAACGTGATAGAATAAAATAAGGTATGTTCATTTCAGAATATAGTATTCTATTTGAAGCTAGTGGCGTTATATGGTTGAAGGAAGATATTAACAAGTGTTGTTGTTTTCAGGTAGTGTGACCTTTCCTGAAGCGTTGGTTGTTGTTGTTTTGACAGCAGAACATTTGCAGCAACTGCTATAAGGTTAGTAAATGGGGGAAGCACCATCGATCGAAAAGGTTTAGCTTAATGTAATGGTGGCTTGTTGAGGATTCGAAGCGACCAGCCAGCACCCAAACAACAGTTAAATCCGCGAAGGCAGCCGATCTCTGCTCGTGCCGCGCATACGTATCCAGCCCCGCGCCTTGGGCTCGCCATACCATAGAAGTTGGCCAAGTCTCAGTTGTTCTGAGGCAGTAGCAGAAACAGCAACATAATCAGAGAACAGGTCCGGACACCAGAGGTCGCCAACCGACAATTGTTTATATTTTGTGTTCCGTTCGCGCGCAAGTGTTCCAAACAAGCAACATTCATGTTAGCGATGCCTTCAGCCAATATGCGCACCCCAAGCAGCAACGCCACGGCAACGATGAACCCTATCAAGGGACCTGAGTTTAACATCAGCTCGAAGGATGTTGAAGGACTCGTGCTGGAGATTAAGGAGAACCTTCGTGTATCTGCCTCCACCATGAAGGCGCTACCATGCAGCCACCTGTCCAGGAAGTCGTCCAGAGCATCTCCGTACCGGGTGCCGGCTCGCATCTGCTCTTGCGACAACACAGTCTGCGATTGCACCAGGAAGATGAGGCGCAAACCGCCGCAGGACATCCAGGAGGATCCCTACGAGCTTCTCCAAAGGCTGCTCAGAGATGGAAGCCTCGTCAGCGAGGCCGTGCGACGAGTCCAGCTGGGATTGACCGCCAAGCAGCGCTACTTCTACGAGTCCGACGAGGAGTCTAGCCCCGTGCTACGTCTGTGCTCCCAGGAAAACTAAGAACATTTATAAAGCTACTTTGGTATAATCATTTTCAACCCATTTCATTTAATTTTATTATTTCCATTAAGTTCGTTTATTTTTACTATTTACGATTACGTTTTATTTTTTATTACTATTATTTCCTTTTTTTTCGTTTCTCAGTTTATTTATTTTTAACATTTGATGTTCCTTTTATAGTCAAAGTGCGTGTGTTTATGTATGCTGTGGTGTGCGAGCGTGAGAGTGTGTGAGTGTGCATGGCGAGTGAAGGAAAAATCGACGCAGGAAGAAAGGAAAAGTACTCGCAGGGATAAGGGCTCGACGATGATATTTATTCATGCTAGTTAGTTAAGACCAACAGTAGTTTAATTATTCATTTACGTTTTACTTTTCTCTATTCCTGACGAATTTCAGGAAAGTCACTCCTAATTTGTCCCCCGTTGGGGATTCATATATTTTTTATTATTTGTTATGTTTACTATTACTTTAATTTTACGTGAGAGTATCTCTCACCGAGCGTCAAGCCCTTCCCGGCCCATGTAATTTCTACGTGGTTTCCTTTCTTCCCCGCGTGATGGGACAAGGAAGAAGCAAAGAACCCGAACCCCCCTTTTCACTCTAGTATTATACGCTTATCCGGAATCCCGAGTCGTCTTCGAGAATTGTTCGAAACGCTCGGAGGTACTGGACTGAAAATTTCGTTTTTAACGTTAGTAGATAGACACAGATCACTCTGTTTACTCCATATCTGTGATTGTATAATATATTTATAAAATAATGTTATTAAAACCTACAAAAAAAGTAAGAAGTAAGATTGTGAAGGAGGAGAGGAATATAGAAAACTTGAAGAAAATTATAAAAAAAAGATGATGATATATATATTATATATTGTGGTGTCGCCGAGGTCGTCGTTCCGCGCATATTCCATGATTATTATTTTTCAAACAAAAATTCTATGTATTATTATGAATGTTATATATGTTATATAATCATATTGCGACGGCATGTTTGTGTTGTCCAGTAATAAATGTTTAGGAACGATCCCAATGGCGAGGATTTTCTTCTAGAAAGTTCAACCGATGACTGTGTAGCGAAATATTTCTTGTTACATATTACATATATGTTTATATATATATAGAAAAAAAAACAATATATATATATAAATATATGTATATAAATATATATATATTTAGAATTATTATATATTTTGTCTTTATATAGGTGTATAATAAACAAAACAAACAAAATAATTATAAAGAGCAGCGATTGTGCTTTATTGGAAATAACATAACAGCAAAACGAACGAAGAGAAAACCAAAGCGGAAACGTTTCTCAAGACACAAGTTCACGATCAATTGTTTTGAAGCGAAACGTCTTGTATTGTAAATCGCTGATGGATGTTGTTAGGTTGTAGATCGGTGTTGATCATACATTTGACTATGTTTTATTCTGTTCACGTAACAACTAATAAGTTGATTCTAAATCGTTTCCGATGGTTTTTCCCTTACAGCTTCGTTTCATGATTTTCCAATTTATGTTCGTCTTCAATTTGTAATTTGTATTGGTCTCCTGAATTTCGGCTTATTCGAATTTGTAATAATAAATACAGTTTCTATGTGTAAAAAAAAACAAGACCGTGGCGTTATTTTGGTTGAAGAGTCCTTCCAAGCAAACACATCCCATTCACTTTTATCGAGCAATGTAAATAAAGGGAATACGATGCTCTCTGCATCAGGCATGGTCATATTACTAGACGCGCGTGTATTTTCCATGTGCGCGCTATTCCTTGCCAAGGATGTGAGCCTAAAGAGAGAGAGAGAATAAAAAAAAACTAGAGAAATATATATGTGCACACTTGTGAAGTGTATATATAAATACGACTTTTCATTTGTTTACAAAACATTGCCACGTGGTACGCGATTTCGCTCCGAAACGTATTATTTAAAAATAAAGTAAAAGCGACACCGATTTTTTTTCGTGTCCTCTCTCCTCAAGCACTATCACTTATATACATGTAAATACATCTTACTTACTACATATGTATATATACCTATATATATATAAAAATATTACGCAGTGACTCTGTTTGCTGGTTGCGTAAGCCGCGATCGCAATGTATCCATTGGAATCTCGATGATTTATTAACTACGTTTCGCATTGGTAATGCTCGAGAAGTACGTTGCGAAACGCTGTTGAATTTTCAACAATTCTATACCGGATCCGCAGATGGTCTCTCTGGCCTCAGCCTTTTCATTTTCCACGCTTTGCAGATGAGACCACAAAAAAGCGTGTATTACAGGAGACTTCGAAATCTGAGTTTCTTTGTCAATTACCGATGTTATAAATACGTTTTTTTCTAAATTCTGCTTTGTTTCTGAAAACATAAAGACATGCAGAATAGTTTGGTTCAAGGCACGTTTAATACTAAACACTTAGTTGTATTATAACGAATAACAAAAACATGTTAAACCATGTTATTAATATTTTATCTCATATGCTCAAAATAACAACGTATAAACATGAACATAAACATAACATTTTTCTATAGATTAGTTTGATAATTTATTACTTAAAATTGTTTACAAATATTGTAGACAAATTATTATTATTAGTATTAAAGTCTATTAATTGAATTAATCTGCAGATTATCTAATTCAAAAAGTTACTACAAAAATACTTGTATATATGAAATATCCAAATTTTAGCTAAATTATATTAACATTAATTATGCACATGTGTTCAAATGACTTAAAAAATAATTGGAAATAACAGAAGTTACAATAACAGCCATCAAAATTATAATTAGCTGTATCATGTTTGTTGATCATTTTATAACTGAAAACGAGAATAACATAAGTTTTAATTTAAATTGCTCGTGTGTAATTTGATTACACAAAAGTAATTAACTCAATTAATTTTGTAAAATATTCTAATTCGAAAATATGTATTTGGAAAAAAAACTTTCAATGTTTTAATTTGAAAGGTAAATCACTAAAATAATTCCGTTCCGAAGATTTGTTTGTGTATAACTGTTAAATGCAGCAGGTAGGAAGATGGTAGAAAATAAACAAAACATTAAAAAAATCCTGACGGTTTTAATTACTTTTAACGGCAGCGAGGATGTTGTAAAACAGCTTGACGACTTTATAACTTTCTTTGGAAAACCCCTATGGAGAGGCCTGCGAAATTTCACGGTTTCAGAAAAGGCATTTAATAATGACTGAAGGCGTAAAATGAGTGATTATATCTTGAGATCCGTACGCGCTTTTACTGTATTTACTATGACGATCCTTCATCAATGTTTATAGTATGAGACTTTTTAACTTCGTGAAATTCTGGGAATGAGGCCGTCGTTCTTTATATAGGAGCCACGAGTGCCGAAACTTTTGGTGTAAAATCGTACCGTGATAATTTCGTGTAGGATAAAATAGTTACAAAGTTTCATATAATATTTCATTTAGAACTGTAGTTTCAGATTAATAATATTTATGCGACGTTAATTGAGGAAGTTTGTAAAGTTTGTGATGTTCGTGTTTCGGTAATATTCGACTAAGTTGAAAAGCAAATATTTTGACGAGAAAGATGTTTTTTTCTTGTTGTTGTTAAAAGAAATTCAATGTTAAGTTTTAGGTGAGATTATTTGAAAATTAATGAGGAAGTTCACGGATTATCAGGTGTTAAGTTGAAGGTAATTTGTAAGGTTATATGCTCCGACAAAATCGTTATCGGATTTGCTCAGATTACGCAATCAAAATAAAAAATGGTTGTAAAAGTATAAGTTTATATTCAATGAAAGTAAATGTACAATCATTGCGAAAGATAAGGCATAAATGATTCATAATTTTTGAGATTTATGTAAGTTACTTGATTCAAAGAAATTCAAGTATTCAAATTATTTATTGGATTTTGATGTAATAAAAACTGCTTAATTGACTGGGAATAAGTGATTAGTTTAATCAATTAGAAGGATGCGTTAATGTAATTTTTGGTATGTTTAATTGCTGAATCGAGTTAAGATAATGGTGTAACGATGACATGTCTCAATGAAGATGACTCAAAAATTACGTCTATTTCCATACATTCTCGCTATTTATAAACGTATTGAATCAGAATGTAAGCTTTCGGCAAGTTCACAAATATTCATAGTCCTTCGTTCGTAAAAATAAACACGACATTTAATCCACATAAGCAGTTGTACTTGTGTATATTTTAACGTTAAAATTTAATA